TCATTTCCTGTCTGATTGACTTCAATCATTATTGATCTCTCGCCTTCATTTCCTGTCTGGTTGACTTCAATCATTATTTATCTCTTGCCTTCATTTCCTGTCTGGTTGATGTCAATCATTATTGATCTCTTGCTTTCATTTCCTGTCTGGTTTGATGTCAATCATTATTGATCTCTCGCCTTCATTTCCTGTCTAGTTGACGTCAATTATTATTGATCTCTTGCCTTCATTTCCTGTCTGACTTCAATCATTATTGATCTCTTGCCTTCATTTCCTGTCTGATTGACTTCAATTATTATTGATCTCTTGCCTTCATTTCCTGTCTGACTTCAATCATTATTGATCTCTTGCCTTCATTTCCTGTCTGATTGACTTCAATTGTTATTGATCTCTTGCCTTCATTTCCTGTCTGGTTGACTTCAATCATTATTGATCTCTTGCCTTCATTTCCTGTCTGATTGACTTCAATCATTATTGATCTCTTGCCTTCATTTCCTGTATGGTTGACTTCAATCATTATTGATCTCTTGCCTTCATTTCCTGTCTGGTTGACTTCAATTATTATTGATCTCTTGCCTTCATTTCCTGTCTGGTTGACTTCAATTATTATTGATCTCTTGCCTTCATTTCCTGTCTGGTTGACTTCAATTATTATTGATCTCTTGCCTTCATTTCCTGTTTGACTTCAATCATTATTGATCTCTTGCCTTCATTTCCTGTCTGGTTGACGTCAATTATTATTGATCTCTTGCCTTCATTTCCTGTCTGATTGACTTCAATCATTATTGATCTCTTGCCCTAATTTCCTGTCTGATTGACTTCAATCATCAATGATCCCCCTCGCTTAATGACTTATACTGTTTTAAGCCTGCTCTCACAGCTATTGGCTTTCTTTGCCATCAGTGGTTTGGTTCCCAAACATTATATGGTAGAACACATCCCTGGCATCCCTTTAGATGTGCATGCTCAAGCAAAGCAGCTGATTAGCAGATTGCACAGCCAATGTCTGCTGCACCCAGTGGCCAACACATAGGACCATGCATGTCTAAAGGGATCTTGGGGATTTGTCTCTTTCTTGTAATTCTCTTGAAAGAGGATCCAAGGCTGGGTGCTATGATATTTACCAGAGTCTGCTGACCTTTCCCAGCAAACTCGCTGCAAAGAACAGCAGACAGGTCCAGTGATGATGTCACTCAATCCCAAAAGGGGTATTTCTTGAAAGCCAAATGATTAGATTGAAAATGTTTAATTGTGTATTGAACAAGGGAGAGGAGGGAACAAAGGGAATGTAATGCTTTCATAGTCGTAGTTAATATAGATCAAAGTAAGTAACAATTCTAGGCAGGGGGATGGGAAGGATCAGCGATCATGTGAAAACTGTGATTGGCTGTGACAGTGGGTTACATGATCGGGAACTGGTCCTGCTGACTACTGATAATTAGTAGGGACCATAAGCTGTCTCTGTGCTGGAAACGTACTAGGAGTGCTCTCAGCACAGAAACATTGGCCGTCCAGTGATGCATATATGTGGCATCAGTGCTGCTGATCGATGAAAAACAATTGATCGTTTTCTAGCCTGGCCTATTAACTCAGGTTGATCTAATCCAATTTAAACTGATTCTAAATGGTTCAGAAGGGAAGGTGTGACGGTTTGATTATTTTTTGGTTTGATGGTGTTGACCAGATCACACATCAATTGGGTAATAAAAATCAAAGTGTGCATGGCCACCATTAGAGGGATGGACTAAACAGAGAGGAAAACTAAACTGCCCGGATAGTAAGAGAAAACCCTGGAAGTCAAGTTCTCAGGCTGCTTCATGTCATAACACATTTGGTGACACTCCTCCATGTAATGTGTCTTCACCACAACAAGGTATGATGAAATCTGAACCTGTCTTTATGAGTAAATAGCAGAGCTGATGGGTGAGCTGACAGCTGGGGATTCACTCTCCTGTAATTACAAAGGGAATTAATGTGAAGTGTACACAGAAATAGATCTATTACCCACTAGAATGCTGCATTAAACTTTCTTAAGGGATAAGTCAACCCAAGAACAACATTTTAATAATAGTGCAGCTTATTAGTCCTTAGATATGGCGACTGCATTAGTTTTTGTTTTGTTTTTTTATTTTTAGAATCCATGGATCCCTCCTTTTTAAAGTGATTGTAAAGGATCAGATTTTATTATTTTTTTTAAATAACAAAGGTGTCTTACTTACCTGTTCAGTGTAATGATTTTGCATAGAGCAGCCCCGATCCTCCTCTTCTCAGGTTCCCTGCTGATGCTCCTAGCTCCTCCCCTCCGCCAACTGCCCCCATAGCAAACTCCTCGTTCTAGGGGCACTCATGCAGGCTTATAACACAATAAATGATGTAGCGCTAATAACAAAGGTGCATATGTGAAACACACAAATATAAGTGGAAGATATAAAATGCAACATATATAAAAATAAGTAATATATGACCGAGTATACAATGTGACTAGACCTCATAGGCACTGCTTATATGCTGTGAGGTCTGATTATGAAGTATGATCTCCCAGGGATCATAATGGTGAAAATTGATAACGTGAAAAAACCAATAAATGAAAAAGAAAGTGTACACAATACTCACACAAATGTGTGAGTGAATTGATCCTAATTGGATCTAAAAGTGGTGTTAAATATCCAAAATGGTCCAAATGGGACTAGTGCATCAGGTGTGCCCAAATTGATCCTAATTGGATCTATAAGTGGTGGTAAAACATTTGAGCACACCTGATGCACTAGTCCCATTTGGACTTTTTTGTATCCATTACATTCTTGTTCTCTTAAGCAGGCCATAGATTATGCTATTGCTTTCCTTCCTTCACTGGTGGAAGGTAAGAAACTTGCTTGATTCCCCTGTCAACACAGTCAGTGCTAATGGGGGAATCCATCCCACAGTGCCATTGTGTTCTGCTGAGGGCGGGGAGCCTTCTCTGCTGGCAGAACACAATGATTAGCCACCAACACGAATTGTTGGGGGGGAAAACCAGACAAGCTGGAAGTACACAAGTCGATCGATACAGACAGGGTGCCTGGACATGGATTGAAATTTGTCTGGTTCCTGCTGAACCAGATGAATTTTGATCCATGTTTGGCTGACTTTAGGCCCCTTTCACACTTGGGTGATTATTATTATATTATTATTATTATTATATAGGATTTATATGGCGCCAACAGTTTGCGCAGCACATTACAATATAAGGGACAGTACAATTACAATACATTTCAGTACAGAAGGAATATGAGGGCCCTGCTCATGGGAGTTACAATCTAAAGGAAGAGGGAGATGATACAAAAGGTGATAGCTGCGGGAGATGATCTGGTGGAGGTGATTCAAGTACAGTTCTTAGGTGGAGGTGGGGTAGGCTTCCCTGAAGAAGTGCATTTTCAAAGATCACCTAAAGGCACCCAGGGTGGGGGCTGACCGGACTTACTGTGGTAGGGAGTTCCAGAGGATGGGAGAGGCTCTGGAGAAGTACTGAAGGCGAGCGTGGGAGGAGGTGATGGGGGAGCTAGAGAGGAGCATATCATGGGAGGAGCGGAGTGGGCGATTTGGGCGGCATCTGTGGATGAGGTTGGTGATGTAGCTGGGGGCAGTGTTGTGGATGGCTTTGTAAGCTGTGGTTAGTATTTTGAATTTTATACGTTGGGTTAGTGGAAGCCAGTGGAGGGATTGGCAGAGAGGGGCAGCAGTCGCTGATCAGTTGGTAAGGTGTATGAGTCTAGCAGCAGCATTCATAATAGACTGAAGGTGGGATAGCCTGTGTAATGGTAGACCAGTGAGGAGGGAGTTGCAGTAATGGAGGCGGGATATAACCAAGGCGTGGATAAGTTGTTTTGTGGTGTCATTGGTCAGGAAGGGGCAGATTTTGGAGATGTTCCGGAGGTTGAGGCGGCAGGATTTAGCCAGTGAGTGGATGTGGGGCCCAAAGGAGAGGTCAGAGTCTAGGATTACGCCTAGCACCCTGGCATGAGGGGAAGGACCAATGGTTGTGCTGTTGATCTTAATGGTAAAGTCATGAGTGGGGGATCGGGGGGGGGGGGGGGGGGGGGGGGGTGACGGTGGGGCCGGGGGGGTTTGGGGGAAATATTACAGCTCAGTTTTGAAAAGATTGAGTTTGAGGTAGTGATGTGACATCCATGCTGATATGTCGCTTAGTAGATTTGTGATACGTGAGGGGGTGAGCTGCGGAGTGGAGAGATAGATCTGGGTGTCATCAGCATAGAGGTGGTATTGGAAGCCATGGGAGGTTATCAGTTGGCCCAGGAAGGAGGTATAGAGAGAAAAAAGGAGAGGCCCAAGAACAGAACCTTGGGGTACCCCAACAGAAAAAGGTGAAGGAGGAGGAGTTGTATGTGACACTGAAAGTGCGCTGAGAAAGGTAAGAGGAGAACCAGGAGAGAGCAGAATCACGGAGGCCAATGGATTAGGAAATTGCGGCAAAACGCGTGCAGTTCATTTAGGTGTTTTTCATGCTGAATGGCACCCATACACGCTTGCTGCAAATGTCGCATGTTTTATCAAGAGACAATCACAGCAAAACGTGTATGTAAAATCGCACCTGACTCAGGGCCACAATTTTGCTCCTGAGCTTCTATGACGCAACAAACGTGCATTATAGTGAATGCGCTGCCCTTTGTGCAACACTCAGAATCGCCCGCGCAAAATCACAAGCAAGAACGCGAGTTCCCGCTACGCACAGTGTGAACAGAGCCTAATGCCCAGGAAGGAAATATATCCAGTGTGCTGATTTTTTTACTGGAAGCCGTCTTGTCTGTCTTCAGTGGTCTACAGCTGACAGACGCTTTTAGGATGAGATTTCTCCCCAGTGTGTGGAATGATCTTGGTACTCACTGATCTGTCTCCTGTGTCATGTCGCTGTCAGTACAGTGTGTGCTCGCTGTATCAAGTCACTGACTATTTGTTTTTTCTTACTCTTGCAGGCAAAGGAAGTAGCAGAACACAATTTCGGGATGTCGCTGGACGCCTTTAATCTTGTTCAATTGAGAACCGCTTTGAGGTTAGCCTGACATTTTCTCTTTGTTTTTAGTAGAGAGCTTTCAAGGGAATGAACATCAGAGGGAATACTCGGTGAAATGATGCATCACTGGTGCCTGTAATCAAGTGAGGAGGGGAGCACAAATTAAATATAGCGCATTGTGTTCTTGTGAAGTGAACTCTTTAGGGGGAATGAATACTGTGAGCTTCTGAAACAAAGATGGAAGGCGTCCATCTTTTAAAGGCAGCTGAAATATTGACCCTTGAAATGACATCAAACTGATTTTTAAAGCGGTATTAAACTCAAAAGCAAACCTTTATTATTTTGCAGCTTACCAATTCTTCGATGTGATGACTACATTCGTTTTCTTTTTTAGGCTTTCTTCTATTCTCACTTGGTGATCTGGCCTGTAAGTCAACTGTTTGTAACAGCTTATAAAGTTTTAGCTGGAGTTTGGCTTCTGTTTGTTAGTGTATCTATATCAGCTAGTGCATCTTACACTCCCTTCCCCACAGACTAACAATGCTGCTGTCCGAAGGTGCCCCCTGTGCTCCTTCATCCAGAGTGGTGGCGCTCTAATACAGGAGGTGTGTTACTGGCCAGATCATCAGGGGACAAAAAGGAAACTAAAGCAGCCAACACATCTAATAATTAGTAAGCTGCAACATATTATATTTTTGGTTTTGGGATTAAAGATGAAGATTAATCTGCCTATATTTCTCTTTCCCTGATTTCTCTACCCCCTCACCATCCTGCTAATGATATGTTTACATAACATGCCCTATTGTATACCCAGTGATGTCATCACTGGGTCTCTGATTTTCTGTGCAAATCATGGCTGGTGGGAGGGGATAGCAGGGTGCTGTACATATCTTTCTGAAAACATCACACAACCCGGCCTCCTTACACCTATCAAGAGCCCTCAGCCCTGATACAAGCAATGAGTTACTTATTTGGAGGAGCTATGCAAATATCAACTAGCTGTGAGGTGTGGGAGTGCCTAGTCGCGCTGTATTTACATGCAGATCACCATAGGTACCCACATGGAAGAAAAATATATTTTAAAAATCTTCTTCCCAAATATATTGACATACATTTGAAATACTACAATTTTGGCCATATTCAAAATATATACATATATATATATATATATATATATATATATATATATATATATATATATATACAGTTGTGTTGAAAATAATAGCAATCAGACATCACTAACCGGATCAATTACTGTTTTTGGTAGAAATGATATTTCTACATGGCAAATAATTTACTAGCAGGTGTAGTAGAGTAATAGAAATCCAACAGACCCAACAGTCATGACATGCATGCTGCTGATTCTGTGTAATTTAATCACTCATTGAAAGGGGCATGTTCAAAATAATAGCAGTGTGGAGTTCTATTAGTGAGGTCATTCATTCTTTGAAAAACAGGTGGCAATTATTGCCCTTATTTAAGGAAGAAAGGCAGCAAATGTTGTACATGCTGGTTACAGTGCATTTCTCTCTGAAATTCTGAGGAAAATGGGTCGTTCCAGACATTGTTCAGAAGAACAGCGTACCTTGATTAAAAAGTTGATTGGAGAGGGGGAAAAAACATATAAAGAAGTGCAGAAAATGATAGGCTGCTCAGCTAAAATGATTGAAAATGCTTTAAAATGGCAACCAAAACCTGAAAGACGTGGAAGAAAGCGAAAAACTACCATTCGAATGGATAGAAGAATAGCCAAAATGGTGCGGACTCAGCCAACAATCAGCTCCAGGAAGATGAAAGAAGGTGTAAAGTTCCCTGTGAGGACTGTTACAATTAGAAGACGCCTATGTGAAGCCAAGCTATCTGCAAGAATCCCCCGCAAAGTCCCACTGTTGGAAAAAAGACGTGCTGAAGAGGTTACAATTTGCCAAAGAGCACATTGACTGGCCTAAAGAGAAATGGCGCAACATTTTGTGGACTGATGAAAGTAAGATTGTTCTTTTTGGGTCTAGTGGGCGGAGATAGTTTGTCAGACGACCCCCAAACACTGAATTCAAGCCACAGTACACTGTGAAGACAGTGAAGCATGGTGGTGCAAGCATCATGATATGGGGATGTTTCTCATACTACGGTGTTGGGCCTATTTATCGCATACCAGGGATCATGGATCAGTTTGGAATACATCAGAATACTTGAAGAGGTCATGCTGCCTTATGCTGAAGAGGAAATGCCCTTGAAATGGGTGTTCCAACAAGACAACGACCCCAAACACACCAGTAAACGTGCAACATCTTGGTTCCAGACCAACAAGATTGACGTTATGGAGTGGCCAGCCCAATCCCCGGATTTTAATCCAATAGAAAACTTGTGGGGTGACATCAAAAATGCAGTTTCTGAGGCAAAACCAAGAAATAGAGAAGAACTGTGGAATGTAGTCCAATCATCCTGGGCTGGAATACCTGATCACAGGGGCCAGAAGTTGGGTGACTCCATGCAACACAGATGTACAGCAGTTCTCAGAAACAGTGCGACTACAACCAAATATTCATGAAGTCATTCAAAGGAAAGCAAAATCTTCAAACATTTTTCAGTTTATATAGTGAATGTTTGAGTTTGTAAAGAAGAATACAAACACTGCTATGTTTTTGAACCGTCTAATATTCACTTTTCATCAATTTTTTTTTTAGAGGAACAACACAAATTTGATATATTTTTCTTCATGTTTTGATTTGGAATAGAATGTGTCGTGCTCCCAATGCATTTGTGTGTATGTAAATAAAAGCTATTAGAAGGATTTTGAGCTTTATTCACTTTTTGCAACACACTGCTATTATTTTGAACACAACTGTATGTATATGTGTGTGTATGTATGTATGTATATATAAATATACATATATATATATATATATATATATGTATATACTGCATGTTGAAATGCGTTTTTTATTACAAAATATATGAAAAATATTTTTAAAAATACATTTCAAATATACTGTATGTCTTTCTTTAAATATACAAATCTACATTTTTGGAATGCAATTACAATTATATGTTTAATGACTATTTTTAAAAATATCTTTCATATATTAACACATTTCAACATGCAGTGTGTGTGTGTGTGTACATATATATATATATATATATATATATATATATATATATATATATATATATATATATTAATTGAAATATATTTTGAAATATATTGCATATGGCCAAAATTGTAGTATTTCAAATATGTTAATATATTTGGGAAGAATATTTTTAAAGTATATTTCAAATATATTTTTCTTCCATGTGGGTAACAGGTATGTGTGATGTGAAATCAGAGTAAGCAATTTCAGTACAGGAGAGGAGCCGTTACAACTCTGCAAGACTGAAAGTAGGGTTGGAGTTCAGCCTTAACTTTTGGCCAGAGGCCAATGAGGCCCTTTGTCAGGTTTGCATTGCTTTCTGTGTCCTCATTGGTTAGATTTTCTTTCACTTCTCTACTGTGTCACCAGTACAGCAAGTGCTGTTCAATCTCTCCTGTGTGGGTGCAGAAAGCAAGTAAAAACCTGACAGCATGTCCAACCTTTCCCCATTCCATCCTAATCTGAAAATAAAGCATTTGGCTAGGGTTACACTTTAATTTGGCCTCTTTTTTTTTTTTTATTATTTTTTTTTTTCCAACTAAGGCCCTGTTGTCAATATTTATGATGAGATGACCACTATGAATGGTAGACAAAGATAAGTGATGTCTAATTGGTGTCATTGCTGGGTTTCTTCCAGGTCCAAAGTATCATTTCAGATTGAAGCTGTGAATAGTCTGGGCAGGTAATGTATTGCTTTTCGTTGTCTCTGGTGTTGTCCTGCAGACAGATATACTTGGACTTGTAGACTTTATTCCATTATGTTATTTCTCTTTCAGAACAGTGCCTTTAGACAATGAAGATAGCACATATTTAATTAAGACTGTAAGTACACAAGTGTCCTGTCATTAAACAATTTGTATTCAGAAGTCTTGTTTAGGGTTTTTCTATATTAATAACACAGGGGTTCTTAAATGGGGGGTATCCATAAATCTTGGGGGTCTGGGAGCCCATTGATGGGGGTGTTGGACTGAACCTCCGGAAAATTAAAAAATTAAATAAGAGGTTATTATACCACATCGATTGGCCTCTGAGGTCACTGCCTCTCACACTGACTTATGTCTAGATCGTCACCTCTTTTGGCTATTGGACATAGCCTAACAGGCTTCCATTGGTTGGTTTACTGTATTTGCTGAGCGCTTATGTTTATTCACTGTCATGGCTGTTGTTTAATATATCCATACTGTATACTTGATATCCTATCCTAGGAGCCCTGGGTGTGTAGTTTGTGCAGGTTTGGGGGTGTCAGTGGGCTGGTGAATGTCCCCTCAGCTCCTCTCCCTCCTCCTGGTGAATGACAATTGCGTGTTCATGCAACACTGTACCCATATGAATTTTTTACAATTTTTTTGAGACAGATAAAACTTTATTTTGGTGGTATTTATTCACCACTGGGATTTTTATTTTTGTGCTATATAAATGAAAAAATCCAAACATTTTGAAAAATAAAGTGTTTTTTCTGATAAAATTTTGCAAATAAATCTTTCTTCATAAATTTTGGCCAAAATGTATTCATCTATCTTTAGTAAAAAAAAAAAAAAATAAATAACCCAAATTTGTTTATAATCAAAAATTATAATTTGCCAAATTTTTTTTTACATTTTTATTTCATTTTGTTATATTATTTGTTTTGTGTTTTTTTTTTTTTAATATACGGTCACCCTAGCAGTACAGTGTCACTATAGTGACACTGTACTACTTGTAGGGGGTGATGAAGATTTTTTTTTTTCTTTTTTTTTACACCCATAAAGGCTGTAAAAGCAATAATTTCTTATTTTCTCTGGCTGCATTCTTGCAGTCATTGAGAAGTACTGAGTGAGCTGTGATTGGTCACAGCTTGTCACATGGTACAAGGCTGTTGTGATTAGCCTTGTACTATGTGACCTCTGTGATCATTCACAGATTTCACAAGTAGTAAGCAATGATGTCAGAAGTGACATCTTGTTTACTACTGTTCATGTGACCACTGATTGGCCAATCAGTGATCACATGAATCTGGACCCTCACACAGACTCCCAAGCAGCGTGCACAGGCAGTGAATGTGGAAGCCGTTTATAAACGGCCACCCGCTCCTGCACTGCTCCCTTCCGGCCGTTTATGTACATGGGCCAGACGGGAAGTGGTTAATTAGGAGCAGCATTTGCTCTGCTTTCTCAGCTTAGAAGAGTGGTGCAGGCATAAAGGCAGAATGCGTCAGTGGACGTGTGTGCATCACATGATCTTTATCTGGACCTCCGTTTCTTGTTTTCATTGCAGAAAACCAACAGCAAAAATATCACTAGTTGTATGTAGCTTGTGTATTTGCAATTAGCTGTTTTATATCAATAAATACAGTAAATATAACATTCATAGGGTTTTCTTCCTGCTGTTCTATTCCTAGCTACCCATATGTAAAGTAAAACCATCTTTGACGTGATACTGGTAACTAATAGGACTAGTGATGCTGTCAATCTGGTGAAGGGTGTTTGGGGACTTAACCACTTCCTGTCCGGACACTTTTACCCCCCCTTCCTGTCCAGGGCTATTTTCAGCTTTCAGTGCTATCACACTTTGAATGACAATTGCGCGGTCATGCAACACTGTACCCAAATGAATTTTTTACCATTTTTTTTAGACAGATAAAGCTTTATTTTGGTGGTATTTATTCACTGCTGGAATTTTTATTTTTTTTTGCTGTGTAAATGAAAAAGTCCAAAATTTTTGAAAAAAAGTGTTTTTTTTTATAAAATTTTGCAAATAAATAATATTTCATCATAAATCTTGGTCAAAATTTATTCCGTTATCTTTTTAGTAAAAAAAAAAAAAAAATCCAAATTAGTTTATAACCAAAAATTATAATTCTTAAACATTTTTTTTACATTTTTATTTTATTTATTATTTTTTGTTTACATACTGTCACCCTAGCAGTACAGTGTCACCATGGTGACACTGTACTACTTGTGGGGGGTGATGAAGATTTTTTTTTTTTTTACACTGATTGCTTTTACACCCATATAAGATGTAAAAGCAATCGTTTCTCTTTCTCTCTGTCTGCATTCTTGCAGTCATTGAGAAGTACTGAGTGAGCTGTGATTGGTCACAGCTTGTCACATGGTACAAGGCTGTTGTGAATAGCCCTGTACCATGTGACCTCTCTGATCATTCACAGATTTCACACGTAGTAAGCAATGAGGTCAGAAGTGACATCTTGCTTACTACTTTGCATATGATCACTGATTGGCCAATCAGTGATCACATGATCGGGACCTCGTACAGAGGTCCCGTCCGACGATCGGTGTTTCACTGTGTCCGGAAGACACAGCGGGCACCGGATCGCGGTGCTGCGCGCTCCCAGGGAGCGCGCACAAGCAGGGTGCGGGGAGGCCGTTTATAAATGGCCACCCGACCCTGCACTGCCACCGTCCGGCCGTTTATATACAATGGCCGGCCGGGAAGTGGTTAAAGAGCAATTCACTGGGGGTTTGAAGTCGGGAAAGGGCTGAGAATTTCTGTTTTGAACTCTGGACACAAAAACTTTCACTTAAATATATTCCTCAATAGCCACAAAGGATACAAATCTACAGACCTCATCACTATTCTGTACATAGCCTGTACAGAGAGCAGAGCTATGGGGGAGACCCAGCAAGCTCCACCCACTACCGGATACCTGCAAAAAATTACAGGACGGGGCAGACACAAGACCAGTCATCCTGTACAAAGAGAGAGAGCAACAGTGACCGGTCTGTATTATAGAAAGAAAGTCTTGCACTGGATTACTGCACAGATCTGAAAAAAATATACAAAATGCACTAGGGATGCACCGAAATTTCAGTGGCTGAAAACACCCCTTTCGGCCGTTGGCCGAAATGAAAAAAAAAGCAGCGATACAGGTGCTGAAAAAACCTTGCCGCCCGCCGTCGCCCCTCACCACTGCCTGCCCACTGCAGCCTACGGTAGTTCAGCCTTACCTGAGAAACCATCGATCCCGGCGCTGGGCATAGAGATAAGTGAAGGAAAAATGGCCGCCACTCACTCATCTCTATGCCCTTGGAGGACCGGAGCGGTCACTTCCCGTTCTGGCCATTTTGTTTTATTTTTAAAGCACTAGATCAATGCTTTTTTTTTGATCCAATGCTTTACATTGCAGAGGAGAGATATGGGGTCTTATTGACCCCATATCTCTCCATAAAGAGGACCTGTCACTAATTATTTCTAACACAGGGGATGCATGCATTTCTTGTGATAAGAATAAAAGTGATTAACATTTTTTTTAAAGGGACAGTGCACACAAAAAAAAGTTTAAAGTGCCCCTGTTCCCCTCGCACGTAGTGGTGAACGCATACGTAGGCCATGCGCACATATGTAAACGGTGTTCAAACCACACATGTGAGGTATTGCCACGAACGTCAGAGCAAGAGCAATAATTCTCACACTAGACCTCCTCTGTAACCTTACACTGCTAACCTGTAGACATTTTTAAAGCATCACCCATGGAGACTTTTAAGTACAGCAGTTTCATAACATTCCACGAGCATGCGCAATTTTAAAGCGTGACATGTTGGGTATCTATTTGCTCACTGTAACATCCGCTTTCATATTTTACAAAAAAAGTGGGGTATATCTTGTTTTTTTGGGGGGATTTTTTTTAATCAGTGTATTTTTTTCCAAAAAATATATATTCATTTTTAAAAACTGCACCTTTCGGTTTTTGGCCAAGTGTATTTTGAATTTTCATTTTCGGCACCAGAATTTTAATTTCGGTGCACCAATAAAACGCACCAACATTCAAGAATAAACAACATGATGAATGTATATAGACAATATCTGGAGTTCAGTTTAACATTTTTCCATTTCTCTGTACAGGAAAAAACTGGTCTGTTCACAATAGTCAATGACAATATAATATCTCTACTGCAGTATTACACAAACATGGAAATACAAACATTTTGTGACTCAGTTGCTAAACTAAAAAATATTTTTTTGATTGTGGGAAGAAATGACAGCAGGCTGACATAATTCATTTAAACAAGAGATAAATATATAACCTCCATGCTGATATAGCCCTTAGTGAGGAATGAATTTAGGGCCTCAGACATGGAAACCCATGCAGTGGTGGCCAACCTGCGGCTCTCACTCTGCTGCAGGACTACAAGTTCCATCATGCCTCTGCAAGTCAGTAACTTCCCATCTTTGCAATGCCTCATGGGAAATGTAGTTCCACAACAGCTGGAGAGCCACAGGTTAGCCACCCCTGCATAAGAAAAGTCTTTTCTTCTTTCTGATTGCCTCTGTGCAATAGGAAAATAACTAAGGGGTGTATTCATAGAAAAATGTGCAGTTATTCGCCCTGGGAACTGCATGTACACCCATTTAGTGTGAATGAAGGCTAAGTCGAATTTTATTAGGCTATTTTCTCCCCGGTTCGAGTGTTGTTCATTCATATAAAGAGTGGTGCGGGAAAATACTGCATTATGTTCACTACATGGTGCTATATACAGCCTATAATAGTCTATAAACATTCAAGGTCATACCTGTTCGCACAGATCGAATGTACATGTAGTTTTGCAATCAAATTGTGTGATTTTTTTTTTTTTTTTTAATAAATGCAAACCATTGGATTCTTTTTGAGAAAATTGTGCTATGAGCCCGGAAGGCACCTCTGTAATTAAAAATGCCCCCCCTTCCAGCTGACAGTCGCACTTTTATCTTTCAGCTGTCACTCTCTAGGAAAGCTTGAATATGATTGGTGGTTGGGAGCAAAAGTGACAGTTTTTACAATGACACTTTGATCTGTGAGTCCTATTTGTACACTATAACATGTGATGAGTCCTCACTGAACTTTGTCATATGATTACCTTTCAGGCCTCCATGACGGTGTATGACATTCCTGATCTGCAAGGGGGGAGAGGAAATTTGGGGTCTGTGGTCTTTTCTGAATCTTTCCTCAAGTCTGAGATACATGTTAGAGACAAAGGTATGACATTTTGTCTCATGTTGGTAATTATCCTATGCTCCATGATTGCTTTATTAAATGTATCCATAAAATAACTCCCAGTGTTTGGCATCACATTAGAAGACGTTAGGTGGGGTTTAAGGGACTGTCATAAAATGAACAAGAGGTCTCACTTTAACCCCTTGCCTACTGGGCACTTTCTCCTCCTTCCTGTCCAGGCCAATTTTCAGCTTTCAACGCTGTCGCACTTTGAATGACAATTGCGCAGTCATGCAACACTGTACCCGTATGAAATTTTTGGTGGTATTTAATCACCTCTGGTTTTTTTATTTTTTTATAAAAAAAAACTGAAAATTTTGAAAAAAATAGTTTTTTTTTCTTAGTTTGTTATAAAATTTTGTAAATTAGTCATTTTTCTACTTCACTGATGTGTGCTAATGAGGCTGCAGTGATAGGCACTGATAGACACTGATGAGGATGCACTGGTAGGTGGAACTAATGGGCATTGACAGGCATCACTGGTGGGTATTCACAGACATCACTGATGGGCACTGAAAGGCATTACTCATATATGGCAGTGATAGGCGGCACTGATAGGTGGCACTGACTGGCAGCACTCATAGGCAGTACTGACTGACACTGATAGTTGGCACTGAAAGGCAGCTCAGATGGGCACTGATATGTGGCATTGATGTGCACTGATGGGCACTGACAGGTGGCATTGATGGACACTGACAGGTGGCACTGATGGGGCTACACTGATCATCAGGGCACTGATCATCAGTGCCCTGATGATCAGTGTAGATGTCCCCTCCGAGGAATGCTGATTACCGGCTCTCCTCTGTCAGCGTGACAGCTCGTGAGGAGAGAAATGCCGATAACACTGTTCAACAGGTAAAAAGTTTTGGGCATACAATTAGCTAATCTTACATAATTTTGGGGTGCTGAAAACAAAAATGACCCTAAAAAATATTGATTGGCTCTAGTTTCCATGATATATTCACCCATCTAATGACGTAAGCCATTCAAAATTATGATGCAACTTCAGCTGCATATTGCGCAATTGATACTGGTGACCAATAGAAAATTGCATGTATACTGAGATGATGCAATATTAGCCTTTAATTGCATCACTTCACTGCATAAAAGCTGCAGTATCTGTAGCTGATTGTAGTTCGACAGCGTCTTTACATTTCGTTTTATGCTTATATAGGCTACTCAGTAATGCCTCGAACTTGTGTGAATAAAGCAGATAATTTCTGCTATATCTGCGGTGAAATAACTTTTATCTCACAAAAAAGGAGGATAAGAGGAATGATTAAGAAAGCCTACAACTTGTATTTTGGCTGCAAGATAGGAGACCAGGACAAGAGCTGGGCACCACATATATGCTGCAATTCTTGTGGGACGGCACTGGAGCAATGGTTGAATGGAAAAAAGGCATCTATGCCTTTCGCTGTGCCAATGATTTGGAGAGAGCCAACAGATCATGTTAGTAATTGTTACTTTTGTATGGTGCCTCCAACAAAAGGGCTAAATAAGAAGAAAAAGTTATCTGTGCACTATCCAAATATTCCATCTGCAATACGTCCAGTTCCTCATGGAGAGGGGCTACCAATTCCTAAAGCACCAGAATCCTTCGTGGTTGAGTCAAGTGAGGAAGAACCTGAAGCGTGTAGTCATCAACCGTCAACCTCACATGACCCAGACTTTCTTTCATCCACACCCACTGAACCACACCTCATTACACAAGTGGAATTGAGCGATCTTATCAGAGACCTGGATCTTCCGAAGAACAAGGCAGAGCTTTTGGGGTCAAGACTACAACAGTGGAATCTCCTAGCAAGTGATGTTCGTACGTCTTTCTACCGTCATCGTCAGAAAGATCTGATCCCATTCTTCGTCCAGGAAGGTGATATTGCTGTATGTAACAATGTTCATGGTTTAATCTCAGCCATCGGCGTATGCTATGATCCCGATGAGTGGAGGCTGTTCATTGATGCTTCAAAGGCGAGTCTTAAAGCTGTTTTGCTCCATAATGGCAATCAGCTGCCGTCAGTTCCAGTTGCTTACGCAGTTTTCAATGAAAGAAACGTATGAAAACTTGAAAGAGCTTTTAAGGTGCATCAACTATGATGAACATCAATGGTCGATTTGTGGTGACCTGAAGGTGATTGCTATCCTACTTGGACTTCAAGGTGGATATACTAAGTACTGCTGCTTCCTCTGTGAGTGGGACAGTCGTGCGAGAGAAATGCACTATGCCAAAAGAGACTGGCCATTACGCCAGTCATTGCAGCCTGGAGAAAAAAAATGTTAACTATCCAGCACTTGTAGACAGCAATAAGATCTTATTACCTCCATTACACATCAAGTTGGGATTAATGAAAAACTTTGTTAAGGCAATGGACAAGAATAAAGCAGGTTTCAAGTACCTGATTAGCAAATTTCCAGCACTTAGTGCTGCAAAAATAGATGAAGGAGTCTTTGTTGGGCCACAGATTCGTAAACTTATTCATGATGATGAGTTTCTTTCTCTGTTGCGTGGAAAGGAAAAGGCTGCCTGGACAGCATTTGTATCAGTGACATCAAATTTTCTTGGAAACAATAAAACACCAGACTACAAGAAAGTGGTAGAAAAACTCATCCAGACTTACAGAAATCTGGGTTGCAACATGTCTCGAAAAATTCATTTTCTACATTCGCATCTGGATTTTTTCCCACCAAACTGTGGAGCAGTGAGTGATGAACACGGAGAGCGCTTCCATCAAGACATTGCAGCTATGGAAAGAAGATATCAAGGTAAATGGAGCCCATCAATGCTTGCTGACTATTGCTGGACAGTTGTAAGAGATAGCCCTTTCCTCGAATACAAGAGAAAAGCCAAGAGAAGCAAAACCGACACAAACTGAAGATAAAACTAGTGAGAATCCTAAGTATTAAAATGATTCAACTTAGCTTATGGCTATAATTTTTCTTGGTAATCCTATGCAATATATTATGCCATTTAGGCTTTGTTATGTAGTCAATATCACTTGCTTTATATTTGTGGAAAGACATCTATCTATATAATTATTGTGCATTATGTAGTCATTACGCCTATAGTAGAAAACTTTCCGTTTACAGAAAAACTAGAGCCAATTGACAAATTTCATTGTTATATTTGAACTCAGAATGTGAAATTCATTAAGAAATGGATCCTTTTGTTTCCAAAACTGGCAAAAAATTAAAATTTGTTGAACAGTGTAACCTGCATTTCCTTATTTACATGTGATGTGTGATTGGACACAGCTGATCACATGATGGAGCCAAAGTCATCAGCTCTTTCCGCTGATCGGTGATCCGCTGTGTCCCAGGGACACAGCGCACCACTGATCGCCGCGCTGTGCGACCCTGGGGGCACGCACGCGCAGTTAGAGTGAGAGGACATTATATGACGTCCTCTCCCAGAACGAGAGAACCGCCTTGCGCCCGTCCTTTCCCTATATGGTGGGCGGGAGGCTGTCAAAGAAAGGTCCAACTCCTGGGTTTTGATCTGTCACTTGGAACTGATTTAATAAATTTATATAGAACAGTAGTGTTCAACTTAAAAGGGCCACAATTATATGAACAAGTAGAGTGAGCGGCTGCATGTAAATTACCGTTTTTGTTTTTGTTGTTTTTTTTTTTTTTTTTCCAATTCAGTAACATCAACTGGTGGCCATCTGTTTTATAATAGAACCCTAACTTGCTTCTAGGAAGATCCATCCATGGTGAACCCCCTGTATTGCTGTGTTGCTGCTCTCAGCTGAACACCGCTTCCTAGAAATCCTTGTCTAGCTCAATGGCTTCTCTGAAGTTACTTTCAAATCAGAGCAGAGGCGACAATAATAAAATCCACTTCATTGATGTCATTGACAGCAATAATAAACCCTCATAGATGCCATTGACAGCAATAATAAACCTTCATAGATGCCAGTGGCAGCAGTAATAATTCCCCCTTCATTAGCTTCATTGGCAGCAATAGTAATCCTCTATCATTGGAGTCACTGGTAATAATATTAACAGTAATCCCCCCTTCATAGTTGCTAATGAGGACAGTAATAACCCCCCCCCCCCATGCATTGGTGTCAGTGACAACAATAATACAACCCCCCCCCCCTTAATTGGTGTTAGTGGTAGCAATAATAATCCCCTCTTTATTAGTGTCACTGGTAGAAATAATAATTTCCCTCCCTCCTTTATTGGTGTCAATGTTAATAATAATAATTCCCCCTGAATTAATGCAAGTGGCAGTAATAACAATCCCTCCATTTATCGGTGTTACTGGCATCAATAATAATCCCCCACACTTTCATTGGTGTCAGTGGTAATAATAATAATTCCCCCTTTCCTCATCCTCAGTGTCAGTGGTAATAATAATCCCCCCTTCAAAGGTGCCAGTGGTAGCAATAATAATCCCCCCTTTATTAGTGTCACTGGCAGCAATAATAATCCCCCTCCCCCTTTCATTGCTGTCAGTGGTAATAAAAATAACTTACCCCTGAATTGGTGTCAGTGGCAGCAATAATAATCCCCCATTCATTAGTATCAGTGGCAGCAGTTATTATCCCCTTTTTATTAATTTCAGTAGCAATAATAATTATTTACCTTTTATTAGTGGTGGCAGCAATAATAATCCCACTTTCATTGGTGTCAGCAGTAATAATAATATCCCCCCACCCCCTTGATAGATGCCAGTGGGAGCAATAATAATCCCCCCCTTCATTGGTGTCAGTGGCAGCAGTAGGTTTCCCCCTTCATTGGTGTTCAGTGGTAACTTTCCTGAACACACTGTCCTGTGGGGTTGAACCGGCACCATGCCTGTCAGCAGATCACTCCACCCAGCAGACAGTGCCAACCTTATTGGAATGTCGGGTGTTGGGACGCTGTCTGTGCAGCCCGCCACTATGCATAGACTGGGACTGGGACTTCACAGGCCCCATATGGAAGCCCCATGGGCCTCCAGTTGGACAGCCCTGATATAGATTTATATAAGGCGAGTATAAAAATTAGGCATGGCTTTCTTCCAAGGACTGTACAAAGGACATGGAGTCACTGTGTGTAGATGAAGGACAACTCTGCCATCAGTATAGGAAACCATGCCTTATATAAAGGTTAATTAGCATCTTCCTGCCAGCCATACACATTTGTGTGGCAACATGTCAGTGAGCTTTACTGCCATCTGCCCCAAAAATGTGTACAGCCAGCATTCATCTGTATGCCGACCCCGCTGTCACTGATGGCTCTCATCACTGTTGACAATTGGGAGGCGGTAGTTGTGTGCAGCCGGAGTTCTGCTTTAATTTTGTACTGTTTATAGAACTGTCTATTGAGATTTATAGGGAATAGTGTGCGGGGTGTTGGAGTTCTCCATTCATTATTGTTCTAAACTCTGTGAACTGTAAAGTCGGAAGCTGTGTTGACCGATCGGAGGAGACCATATTTATATCTGCAGGGTGTGAATGTTTATTTTGGTGCTGCCTTTTGAAGCTGCTAACCAGCCCGGGTTTATTTCCAGCAGTTTATACTGACACATAAACATGGAAGAAGGAATCCAAATAAAAGGAAGGCCTGGTTATGAAATAGTTATACACTCATTGTTTTTCTTTTGGGTTACATCAGAAGATGAGCTGTAAAGGAAAGTCTAGATCTGTGGGAAATGTCATGAATGTAACAAAACACAAGTCGTTGTAGAAACATCGTCCTTGCTATTAAATCTTCTTTGTCTTGTACCATCCATTACGTCATTTCACGTCATTGAAAGTAGGACAGGTGTATCTGGTGTAGGAAGTAAGGTGATCTTTTGGGACCCCCCCCCCCCCCCTACCCTTGGGACCCATCTGATGGATTGTCATTTCCGAGCATTCATTATGTGTTTTCTAAATGATAAATGCCATGAATAAGCCTTTTCCTTTTTAAAACTGTATTAAATCCAAAAGCAACATTTCTTATATTGCAGTTTACCAGTCTTTAGATGTGATGTCCACATTTTTTTTTTTCTTTTTTAGGCTTTCTTTCTATTATTTTCACTAGGTGATCCTGCCAGTAAGTCTGTTGTTTTTCAACAGAACAAACTGCTCTGCAAATGTATCAGTTAAGAGCCTTGAGAAAAAACATTTACTATGGACAGGAGTGCTTACAGTGACCAGCTTTTATGTATGTAAAACCTTTGTCCCAAAATGAAAAACAAATGTTGCTGTGACTGCTGATAAAGTGTTAACTGAAGTTTGGCATCAATTTGTTAGTGGATTTAAATCTGCTAATACATTGAACTCTCCTTCATCCAGACTGACAATGCTGCTGTCTGCTGTGCCCCCTGTGCTCCTTTTACTCCTTTGAGGACCTCTAATACAGGAGGTGTGTTACTGGTTAGGTCACCAGGTGAAAAACAGAGGGGGGGAAAAAAAAAAACTAATGATTGGTCAGCTGCAATATATTGCATTTTTGATTTTGGATTTAATATTGATTAAAGCCTAACTCCAGTCAAAGCAAGTTGTGGTTAGAGTAGGTATTAAAGCTTCTGACTTTTGGAAGGCAAAGCAACAGGTTCTCTTTAAACCCATTGTTCCCCTGCAGCATCTTTTACTTGTGATAGCAATAAAGCATGACAGGCCCTCTTTATGGAGGTGTCCTAGACCATAGAGATGATTGGGGACTTTCCAGTTTCCGATCATCTCTATTGTAAACAGTTGCAACCCCCAGGGCTCTCTGGTGCAATGGGAGAGCTTGGAAAACAAGATATGCATACTGGAGAGCGGCGTGGGCAGGGGGTGGGGGGAGGACCCCTCCCGCTGCTTGTAAAAGTGATCCAGCAGCTAATCAGCCGCTTGGATCACTTATACAGCTTACGAAATCACCAGCTGAAAATTTTAATATGGGGTTATGGCTCTCAGCTGCATCCATGGCCCTGGTATAACCTCTTGAACAGAATGATGTACATGATTATACATCAAGTGATTAAATGTAGAGATTTGTAGATTAGCCCCCCTAGAGGGATAATAAATCCAAAATTACAACAGCTTTTCTCTGTGCTTTCCAACTGTTCAGACTGTTGAGGCCTCAATGGAGTGCATTGTTTTCAGTGAGTCGGCTGAATCGTTAGATCAGCAATGTGGATAGAGGGATTTCTACTATGAGATCTTGTATTCAAGCAACTGTATCTGTCTGAATACCTGAACAGGAGCTATCACTGGTCAGCTGATCATTTTCCACCCAGATCAGTCTTTTGTCGTACTGAGTGGTGTTTTTGCAGGTCCACCCATGTCTCAAATTTTGTCTGGAATTGAACAATATTGAAGCAATCTGTGAGGACCTGTAGACTAACACTGTGGGAAGGAGCAGTAAAGTACATCCATTGTGTAACACTACGAAGTAAGACGCGGAACCTGTGTATGTAATCAGGAAATATGCCTTCCCCTTGTAATATATAATTACATAATATACAATACAAATAAAGCAGAACTTCAGCCAGAAATACCAAGATAAAAATGAATGGCCCATTAAGAGATGAAATAACAAAACCAGTTTTTGCTGAAAAATTCAGCTTAATTCCAGAGATTTCCCCTGCAGTACTTTTTTCTCCTGCTAGATTTCCTAAGACTAATGGCTAGCATCATTTAACCCGCTTAGGTCATCCTGGACTGGGCAGTGGATGGAGAAGCAGCACAGTGCTGAGCTCATCTGGCATCACTCTGCTCTCTCCTCCTGTCAGCATGTTTCTTGTCAGCACATAATCCCCTTGTGCTGCTTCTTCCTCTCACACTCTAGTCTTGCTTTACTGGGACTACAAGAGGTTGATACCAGGTCCAATTCAGGCACTTGAACGGCTTAAATATATATAAAAAAAACATTTTTTGATATCTTAATGATTGCAGAGCTGTATTAATTTGTGTCTTTACATCTGCCTGGAGTTCAGCGTTAAGGTTTCTAAAATAGTGAAATCATTTACATCAAGCTGCGCTCTATTACATATATATCTACAAAAGAAAACCATTGATTCTTTCACATCTGATTGTTTCTTTGTTTTTAGATGGAGAAATCACATCAGACAACAGCTATATCATTTCTGACTGCTGCTGTTCCCCGTTTTATGTCCTGGCTGGTAAGTACCGGGTATAATGATGGTACGGTTGGTGGCCGAAGGATCAGAGCCACACATATAGACCTCTTTAGTTCTGTCTAGAGCGGCCTGATCTCTGAGTACATCCTGCTGTACAAAGCAAGCCAGGCTGACGAGCTCCTTTTAACCCCTTCATGCCTAAGGGTAAAACAAATCTTAATGCCTAAGCACAATTTTGCAACATTGACGTGTTAGTTACATAGTTTGGCTGAAAAAAGACAAAATTCCATCCAGTTCAACTATAGTAAATCTGTACATATCATCACAACTACTTTGTACATCCAGGTGAATTATACCTTGTTTTTTTCAAGACAAATGAGTTTTCATTTGGACGTATATGGTAATGAATATCTCCTGATTTTTAATTTTTTTTTTATTATTATCAAAGGAAAATTGGCTCAAAATAGTAAAAAAAACCATTTTTTTTTCATTTAGCTCTGTGTTTCTTGTTACTACTGTAACCTACCACCAAAGAACAACTCAAAATACATTTTCCAGCTCTTGATGATCGCAGCGATACCATATAGGTGCATTTTGTTCTTTGTTTACCTAAAACACACTGACACTAATACCAATTTAAAAAAAATAAATCCAGACCTGTGACCCTGACCTTTTCACCTTGACCTTGACCCAAACACTTACCCTGACACTGAACTAGATCAAACCTTGAACTAGGTATTTTTTATTTTATTTTTTAATATTTATTTATCTTTTTTTTTTTTCTTTTTTTTTAAACAAACATTTTTTTTTCCCTCTATGCTAGGAGTTGAGAGATACAATGTATCTCTCTCCTCCATTCATAAAAAACAAGGGGGCTGGGCTGTGACCCAGAATCGGGAGTCTCGGGTCCCGATATTTAGAATGGGACCTGGGACTCTCAGTGACACCCTGGTCTTTGTGCTGGGAGCCCGCTGTGCGGCGCGCTCCCAGCACAAAGACAGGTATGCAAATATATGCGGCCCCACGGAAAAAAGCCCAGTTTTGAGAGGCCCCATATTTGTGTTACGTTGGCTCCAAGGGGTTAAGGACACTTTCAGGTAAACGTGAACTTATTTTACAGAGTGTGTCCAGGAGACGTCCAATTGACATGAATGAGACTGCCTGCACGGAGATATATGCAACACCTGTGCGGGTAAACACAGCCCTCGCACAGGCGTACCATTACCTGCATGTGAATGAGGCCCAACACCATTCAAGAATATAAATAAGACCTATTTCATATTTTACTTGTTTTATTTTGAATATTCCTTAACACCGCAAATGTGTGGGTAGTTCTTACCTTCTCATCGCCTGTAAAGCAAAGAAATATTATTAAAGCAGAGCTCCACCCAAAAGGGGAAGTTCCGCTTTAAGGACTAATCCCCCGCTCCCCATTAAGGATTGGCACCTTTGGGGAGCGGGTACCCGAATTTGACAGGTACCCGCTCCCACTTCCGGTCAGATCGCCTAGGCGATCGGAAAAGGAAGGTGCCCTCCCTCCCTGTAGTCTTTTGGGACACGTGACAGGTCCCAGAAGACTACAGGACCATTCATGTAGTACAACGCTACTTGCACATGCACAGTGGGTACCCGGCTGTGAAGCCACAAGCTATCACAGCCGGCTGCCCACACTGAAGATGCCGGCCTCCTGGAATCCAGGACGGCCGGTGTGAAACGGGCTGCAGGGGACACACCGAGGGACAGGTAAGTGGCTGTTTTTTTTAAAAGTCTACAGTTTTTGTAGCTGCTGACTTTTATTTTTTGACAGGGTGAGTGGAACTCCGCTTTAAAGTAGAACTTTAGTTAAAAATGGGTGGACAGGCTGGATTATTAATGCAGAAGAGACCTGCTTTGTCTCTGCTGCATTAAAGCTATCTACCTGCCTGTTCACCCCTGTACAGTGAGCCGCGCTGGCACAGCTCACTGTACAAATTCAACAAGTGATGGCATCCCCGGCTGGCATTCGGAACCGGAAGCTGTCCACCCAAAGTAACTTTTGTGTGTGGATCTTCAATCTCCATTGATGTAAGAAAGCTGCCTACCCATCAAACAGATACCCTATGGATATACCAACACAACAGTGCCACCAATCAGAACGCAGAACAATCATATATCTTTAATATAAAAATGGGTGCAGCACTAAATATATATTACACAATAGAAAGTGTCAAATGCAATAATCCAAAAAAATTATAAATGAATGAATAAATATTCAGTTCAATATAAAGTGACTAGTGATGTGCAACATGGTGGTATTGTAACAATCATAAAGTGATTTAGTGATACCATGAATCTTTGTCACTATAAAGTGACTACTGGTGTTAAATAAAGTGCTGATATAAATGGTTAAATGTCCATAAAGGTGATGTATGGAAGATCCAGTGATGATCTTCAATTCCTGGTGATCTATAAAATCTATTCAATGGTATGGTGATGTGTCCGATAATATAAGAATTGCGCACTCACCAGATGCGCAATCAAATCACGCATTTAGAGATATATACACTCTCAGTAGGTCAGCTGACGGTCCCTTTAAGGGTAAGTATGGTGTGGTCTGGTGTTCCCTCACTGCTTCCTCTGCTGTCCTCCTAATGCAACTCTGACTTCCCGAATCTCCTGGCGTGGAGTACGATCCATGGACTCCAGCAAAATTCACTCTCCAGCCTGCTCCTACAGCCGCCTACTCTGACCGGGTACCTGGAAACCAAACAAGCCGCCTCTCCCGCCCCGTCCAATCACCAATCAATGATATGGTTGTCAATGTCATTGTTCACATCAGTGCTTGCAGTTCTAGTGCGTTCTGGTTGCAGAAAAAAAAGTAGAACAGAACTGTACTAAAACGCACCAAAACGCATAAAAAATGCATTGGAATGACATTGTCCCTATTTAAATTGAGGAAAAAGAGGGGAAAAACTGAATTGGAATGCATAAAAAACGCACTGGAATGCGTCAAAAACACGTAAAAAACGTAAAAACGCATCCGGAATGCATCTGGATGGTGTGAACCGTCCCTTAGGGTTCTTCTGAACAATACATTTACTTTGTATCCAATCAGGCAGGCCCTCACTATACATAGCTTGTAGGTTTAAAGGAGATTGTACAGACAGATGGCATGATGTGTATGGTTGGTAATAGGCTGGTAGATGTCCGTTTTTAGACCGTATACCATATTATTTTTTGTTTTGTTTCCAGGTTGAGGACAATGAGGTGAAACTTTCAGAGAAAGCACTGAATTCGGTGAAGGTGAGATAAATTCAAGTGAGGTCTAAACTGTATGTTGTGTCAAGTGGAGATGGCCCCCATGTAACTGATTGGTGTCTTTCCAGGAACACAAATCATTCCTGGGGAGTTTCCTTTCCGGAGGGGATGAGACCTACATATGTTCCAGCAGTCGGCACATTTCATCCGAAGAAGGTACGCACCGTCACAGGCTCTTTGGTATTAATCGGTATTCAGCCATGTAGAACCGAAAGGGTGATGTCGTGCCAAATGCTTAAAGGATAAGTTCACCTTTTAAAATAATTACCTTCCAAAAAATGTGCATTTATTAATCACTTGAAAATTCTACGTCAGTCAATAGAATAAACGAAGATCGAAGCAAGAAACGCTTGACTGATGAAAACGCAATCTAAATCGCACTTTCTGCAGGAGAAAGCAAAGGGGTGTGTTTACTGAGCGGACTCCGAAAACACACTGAGCTCTGCTCTGCCCGGCAGCTGCTTAACCACTTGCCTAACGGGCACTTGTACCCCCTTCCTTACCAGGCCAATTTTCAGCTTTCAGCGCTGTCACATTTTGGATGACAATTGCGCGGTCATGCAACATTATACCCATATGAAATTTTTGTCACATTTTTCTCACAAATAGAGCTTTCTTATGGTGGTATTTAATCACTGCTGGGTGTTTTACTTTTTGCGCTCTAAACAAAAAAAAAATAGCAAAAATTTTGAAAAAAAAAGTTTCTTTGTTTCTAATATACAATTTTGCAAACAGGTAATTTTTCTCCGTCACTGATGTGCGTTGATGAGCAGCACTGATGGGCACTGATAGGCGGCACTGATAGGCAGCACTAATGAGGTGGCACTGATGAGTTGGCACTTATGATAGGCAATGATAGTCAGCACTGCTGGGCACTGACTTGCGGCACTGACTGGGTGGCACTGCTGGGCACAGGTGGGTGGCACTGCTGGGCACAGGTGGGTGGCACTGCTGGGCACTTTTGGGCGGCACTGTTGCGCACTTGTGGGCAGAACTGGTGGGTACTTGTGGGCGGAACTAGTGGGTGTCACTGCTGGGCACCGATCATCAGGGCACTCATCATCAGTGCCCTGATGATCGGTGCCGATCCTCGCTCTGACAACTGCCGGTTCTTGGCAGTACTTTCCTCACGCTCTGACAGCGTGAGGAAAGTGCAGCCAAGAACCGGCAATTGCATTTCCCGGTGATCAGCGTGTCATTGGACACGGCTGATCACGTGGTAAAAGGCCGCTGTGATTGGCCTTTTACCACATTACGTGATCAGCTGTGTCTGTAGGACACAGCGATCACTGAGATCACCCAGTGCGTGTCCCCGGGGCTGAGCAGGAGAGCGCATTCTGGGAGGATATGACGCCCTCCCAGAACTGGCCGGCCGCAGTGCAGCCATCATTCGGCTATCTGCGGTCGGCAACTAGTTAAAAGAGATCATGGGTACAATCTTGGGCTCCTGCAGACTCTCAGGATAGCTGTCTGCTCATACCTCGTACGGGCGGGCAGTTACATGAGAGCAAGAAGAATCCACGAACTACCAGAGCGCTCTCCAGCTCCCTCGTAATTCATTGAGAAATACAAGCTGTAGGCTGCAGTGGCTGATGGTACTTGTAGTGTATCCATTCATAGGAAACTTTGAATGAATGATGCGGCTGTGTGGGCGGAGGGAGGGGGATTGGGGAAAGAAGCTGTAGATGCTCAAACATGTTACATTTCCCCCTAAAAAACAGGTAAAACATGTAACACGTTCCAAAGGTGAATTTATTTTTTAAGAGTAAAGAGGAGCTCATTTTTTTACTCCCATGTGCTGTGGGTTGGGTCTTCCCAGCCTAGCAGCTCATGGGAACAAAGAGTGAGGCGGGGTAGGATGGAAATGACCCTACCCATCAGTGTGCAGCCTCCCCCTAAGCCCCCCCCCCATAGTCACCTGACCCCAATCCAGTGATGTGCATGAGAGCAGATGCTCTCCTTGGTCTCTGCCTCTTCCTTGGCTGACTCACAGCAGTGGGAGCCATTGGAACAAGTGTTCCAGAGCAAGCAGCTTGCTGTGGGGGCACTCAGCAGGGGGGGAGAGGCTGGAAGCGCCGGCAGGGGACTCAAGAAAAGGGGGATCGGGGCTGCTCTGTTCAAAGCCATTACACAGAGCAGGTAAATATGAAATGTTTATTTAAAAAAAAAAAAAAAAAAAAAGGGTGAACCTTTACAAACCCTTTAAGAGCTGTGCTATCAGTCGCCTTATATTATAGTGCAGTGTAAAGTCTATAAATCACAGGCTGTGTGTTGTAACTTCCTCCCCTGACACCTTTTTTCTCTTGGTGTCAGGAAAATTTGTCAGAAGTGATTCATGCTGATAGCAGAGGAAGGAGAAAGCAGACTGTAGACCTCAGACATGAAATGTCCGTGCCATTTTTACCACTTTAAAGTGTTACTAAATCAACAACAGTAAAATCAGTCTGTATATGCAGTAAAGCATGCTTGCTATACTCTTTGTGAAACCTAAGGGGTTAATCATCCACATTGCATAAAAAAGGATGTTTGATCCTGTATTCTCTGATCCTCCCCCTCTTCTACTGTCCCCAATCCATCTGCTGATAGAACAGAGCCTTGGGGGCAACCTACATATGCTCAGTTTGGTGTGTATTGCTAGAATTTTTTCCTTGGTGTGATCAGCACAGTGCCAAACAGCAATGTCCAGACAGGGGGTCAGGGGTCCTGCAGCCTCATAGGACAATAAGGGGAGAATGAAAACTCCTCCTACAAGCTTTAACCAGTGCTCAGCTGGACACAGATAGAAGCCACAAGACTGCTATATACTGCTGATGAGAAAAAGTATTTAGCAGTTTATATTTACCAAAATAATTGCATCTCCGTGTTGTGTGTACTGTGGGAGACCAGATATAGTGAATGCAGGGTCTGGGGAGACCAGATATAGTGAATGCAGGGTCTGGGGAGACAAGATATAGTGAATGCAGGGTCTGGGTAGACCGGATATAGTGAATGCAGGGTCCGGGGACAGCGGATATAGTGAATGCAGGGTCTGGGGAGACCGGATATAGTGAATGCAGGGTCCGGGTAGACCGGATATAGTGAATGCAGGGTCTGGGGAGAGCGGATATAGTGAATGCAGGGTCTGGGGAGATCAGATATAGTGAATGCAGGGTCTGGGGAGACCAGATATAGTGAATGCAGGGTCTGGGGAGACCAGATATAGTGAATGCAGGGTCTGGGAGACCAGATATAGTGAATGCAGGGTCCGGGGAGACCAGATATAGTGAATGCAGGGTCTGGGGAGACCAGATATAGTGAATGCAGGGTCCGGGGAGACCAGATATAGTGAATGCAGGGTCCGGGGAGAGCAGATATAGTGAATGCAGGGTCCGGGGAGAGCGGATATAGTGAATGCAGGGTCCGGGGAGAGCGGATATAGTGAATGCACGGTCTGGGGAGAGCAGATATAGTGAATGCAGGGTCCGGGGAGAGCAGATATAGTGAATGCAGGGTCCGGGGAGACCAGATATAGTGAATGCAGGGTCTGAGGAGACCAGATATAGTGAATGCAGTGTCCTGGCAGACTGGATATAGTGAATGCAGGGTCCGGGGAGAGCGGATGTAGTGAATGCAGGGTCCGGGGAGAGCAGATATAGTGAATGCAGGGTCCGGGGAGACCAGATATAGTGAATGCAGGGTCCGGGCAGACCGGATATAGTGAATGCAGGGTCCTGGCAGACCGGATGTAGTGAATGCAGGGTCCGAGGAGAGCGGATGTAGTGAATGCAGGGTCCGGGGAGAGCGGATGTAGTGAATGCAGGGTCCGGGGAGAGCGGATGTAGTGAATGCAGGGTCCGGGGAGACCGGATATAGTGAATGCAGGGTCCGGGGAGACCGGATATAGTGAATGCAGGGTCCGGGGAGACCGGATGTAGTGAATGCAGGGTCCGGGGAGAGCGGATGTAGTGAATGCAGGGTCCGGGGAGAGCGGATGTAGTGAATGCAGGGTCCGGGGAGAGCGGATGTAGTGAATGCAGGGTCCGGGGAGACCGGATATAGTGAATGCAGGGTCCGGGGAGACCGGATATAGTGAATGCAGGGTCCGGGGAGACCGGATGTAGTGAATGCAGGGTCCGGGGAGAGCGGATGTAGTGAATGCAGGGTCCGGGGAGAGCGGATGTAGTGAATGCAGGGTCCGGGGAGAGCGGATGTAGTGAATGCCGGCTCCGGGGAGACCAGATATAGTGAATGCAGGGTCCGGGGAGACCGGATATAGTGAATGCAGTGTCCTGGCAGACTGGATATAGTGAATGCAGGGTCTGGGGAGACCAGATATAGTGAATGCAGGGTCCGGGGAGAGCGGATATAGTGAATGCAGGGTCCGGGGAGACCAGATATAGTGAATGCAGGGTCTGGGGAGACCAGATATAGTGAATGCAGGGTCTGGGGAGACCGGATATAGTGAATGCCGGGTCCGGGGAGACCGGATATAGTGAATGAAGTGTCCTGGGTTTTAGTAACACTTTAAGAGAAGCATTACTTCCCCTATTAAAAAAACAAAAAAAACCCCAAAGGATCCTTTGATAGCTGGGGAAGGGGGGGCATTTTTGTATCTTGTTGTAGTTACTTCGAGCTGGACTTTAATTTAATCAAAGCCCTGTTTGGCACCTGTCCTCTCTCAAAAATGGAAATAAAAATGAAAAAAGGTTTTGCTGGTACATATTGCAGGCAGCCAAAGTGACCAGTAACTTTTTGCTGAGGTTTGCAGTAGCTCCAGACTTCTGTACACAAACCGCCTTCACCATAACATTAGCTGCAAGTGTGGGGTGATACTTGGGGGTCCGCCTGTTCTCAACACACAGATAATAAAAAGTAAATGTATTCACTTATTTCTTTTCTATTACTAAACATACTATGTTTGTGCCTTTTCTCAGGTAAACTGTTCTTCTTCTCACATGGCGTCCTATTTGTTCACCCCAACTATGGCAGTGTTAGCATACCACGGAGTCACATGACTTCTGTCAAGTTCTATGATGGTGTAAGTATATTTCTGGGTTTTAGTATTTTTTTTTCACCATCCTTTGAAATTTTCTTTGAAAATAGTTTGTTGTCTCTTTACTATTGCTTTCATAATTCAGTTGAAAGATCTACTCCTTTTTTTTTTTTAATTCTATTATAATTGTTGGTCTCAGATGTTCTTCAGCTGAACATTCTAATCATGCAACAGGCTGACCATAGATTAATGTTTTTTTTTTATCAGCCAATAGGCCGATTTGAAAAGAAAAACCCCCAAAAAACAGATTTTCCCATCCACACAAGCAAGTTTTAGTTCTATTAGGGCTTATTTACACTAGTGGTTCTGGGTGGTAAAACTGCACTTTTACCATCCCCACCCCAGCAACTTCCCCTTTTTGTTTCAGAGGCCAGGGTGTACACATGAGGCAGCCGTGGCAAAAATGATACCCCCTGTTGCTTTTGAGTTCAATGCATGTGGTTGTGGTATGCTAGTGTGGGGATCAAGGGGTTAAAGCAGGCAGTGTGGAGGTGATACAACGCCTCCTCATCATCTGTCAAAGGCTCTCTGAAGAGCAATCTACTAATGTAAATGAGCCCCAAGAGAATGTGTTTTATTATTGAGAAAATTAATTTTCTGTTCCGTGCTGTAATAGTGACCTTACAAAGCCGTGCCCAGGGGCAGACTGACAACTAATGGGGCCCCCGGGCAATAGGGGATCATGGGGCCCCTGTGTCCTCGCTCACTCTCAAACGACACCCAAAAAAAGCCTATGAAAGGTACCAGGGGCATTTCATGGGGCCCCCTACTGATCCTGGGCCCTCGGGCAGTGCCTGAGTTCCCAAATGGTCAGTCCTCCCCTGGCTGTGCCATGTCTGTTCATAGAAAGCATCATTCTTTTGAACACTAGGCCTGCCCAAAAAATGGCAATAAAAACATCAGTTAGGAAATGTAATATACTGGCTGTGGATTTTATGAGGATTTTCAGTATGGTGACTGAATTTCGCAGCCTGACTGGATATTGTGTGTTGCAGGTAGGGTTAAAACAAGTAGGCATTGTGCAGGGGATGCACAAAAATATGGAAACACTACATGGCTTGCAGGTGTGAAAGTGATGACATATTTTGCATTAAAAGTGATATGACATTTGTTTGCTTTCGCTGTGTGATGAGACACCTAGCGAACAGGAGGGAATCCTCCTTCACATGTGCTGCTAGTAATACTGAGTCATGTCAGCGTTTACTGAGCTTAATAGAGGGCAAGTTGTTGGTGCTGTTTAGCTGATGTCTCTGTGACTGAAGTTGCCAGTTTATATGCGTAGGCGTAGGGTACAATATCAAAGGATATGACGGCATATACAGATTCCGGGAATATGTCGTCTGATAAGCATAAGAGCCATCGACGTGGTCAGGTGACCGAAAGACAAAAGGACATCGCGCAGGATTGTGAGCCGGAGTAAGAAAACAACTGCTGCAAAAGTGACTGCAGAGCTCAATCTCAGTCTTCCAAAGCCCGTGTTCACAAAGACTGTGCTGAAGGAACTCCACAATCAAAGCATTAACGGGTGAGCTACGATTGCCGAACCACTAGTGAGCGATATTAATGCTCAGAATAGGAGAGAGTGGTGCAACACCCATAACTCGTGGACTATCGATCAATGGAAGACTAATATGGTCCAATGAATTGAGCTTCACACTGTTGCAAACCACCGGATGCGTTTACATGTGGTGAATACCGTTTCAAGCTTTTGACCAGGACTGTGGCAACGGTAAAGCATGGTGGTGGCGCAATCATGGCGGACCTCCATATCATAGCCACTATGGTCAATTTTGGAGGACAAGGTTCTGGTTTGTTTTCCGCCTCCAGCATCTCGGTAAGAACTGGAACAATTTTTGCATGAAGTGTAGTATCAGATTCCATTATCCACCATTCAAGACTTATATTCGTCAATTCCCAGGAGAATTCAAGTCGTCTTGGATGCCATTGGAGGTCCAACACCATATTAAGGAACGATTTTGTTTTAGTTTTACTTTGACAAAGTCCTCAATTACCACAGAGTCCCCCCCCTTATAACAGGTTCCCCATTAAAGCTTTCTTGTATCAGGGTCCCAGTCGGAGCTCCCATTATATCAGGGTCCTCGCTTGAGACCCCTTTACATCGGAGCCAACTTTTACATCAGGGCTCCCCTGTAGGAGCCCCTTTTACATCAGGATCATCCGTAGGAGCCTCCCTTATATGAGCATCCCTTGTAGGATCCCCCCCCCTTACATCGGGTTCCCTCGTAGGAGCTCTCCTCTTACATTAGGGCCGCCTGTAAGAGCCCTCCTTACATCAAGGTCCCCCATAGGTGGCCCGCTTACATTAGCATCCACCTTAACAGTCCTCCCTAACATCAGGGTCCCCATCAGAGCTCCCCTTACATCAGGGTCCCGCTTAGGAGTGGGCTGACAACACACAGTACTTTTGTTGATTGAGTGGTGTCAGCCCTGCCTAGTTGATTTTAGCTAAACTAGTATTTGTTAAACACATATGACAAAACCCTTTCAGTGGAATATTTATTAGACCAAAAGGGAGCAAATCGAAAAGAAATTCCTTGTTAGGGTTCACATACACTTTAATTGGTGGGGGGGCTATATTTTCATAGTTTGACTCTGTTACTGTCATTCCTGAAACTGCATCTGGGCTTCCTAACTTTGGTCATACACTTAGATTTTTTTTTTATTTGGTCTCAGATTTATTCAAACAGATTCCTCCATCTTCACAGATAGCGCAGATGGACCTGAACAATGGCTGCATCTGAATGTATTCAGCTACTTTTTGGCTCAGAATTTAGGAGTTATAGCTCTCGGGGTGGGGGTCCTTTAACTTGGTGTCCATCCTGCTAAGGGCACCAATAATACTCCAGGGGTCTTCTGTGTACCCAGAAGGGGATATAACTCTTGGGGTGTGGTCGTGGGGAGTTGGGGGTCCTGTAACTAGGGGTCCACTAATAACACTCCAGGGGTCTTCTGTTTACCCAAATGAACACATGGAGAAAGTGACGGTACAAGAGTTATCTCATGCCTCTGTTTTCATTATGTGAACAGTAGTGTCCCTTTTCTATCTTCTTCTATTCAGGATTGTATGCTGTGATTTAACACCAGCTTTCCTATCCGTAGCAGGAAAGAGTTATTTATGGGAAGAAGAGGCCTAACAATAGCAGGGTGCATGTTTTATCTTTTGTGTTGTGTACGTCTCAATATAATCTCATGGTTATGTTATCGTTTCTTCTGTGCCGAGCGCTGACCTTCCGCCTATTGTCGCTGCTTCTTGCTGGAGCCAATTACAGGGTTCGGAGAAGTGATCGCTGTAGACGTGAACTGCCCGCTAGATAAAAATATACAGCATCAGGAGCGGGAAAGGAAACCTAGATAAAGGATGTCCAATTGTACAGCTATGCTATCTCCATTCATCATTCAGTGTTTTGCTCTAGACATGACAGATACATCTGGAAGTTTCTTTTGACAGATGTTGCAGTGTTTGTGAAGAAGGAGCTTTTGTGTTTTCTTTTGTATGGCAGCTATGTACTGCTTTACACCTCTATATAGAGGGCTTTGAAAGTGTTCCAATTCTATCCATCCCTGCAGCCATCATGCAGACTAGCTTGGATGAAAATGTGTCCAGTGTATTTAGTTATACTGTAGCTTAAATCCCAGCTCCGGTGTGGGTCCTCCATGCTGCCGATAATATTTTGTGATCCTACACCCCATATGTAGGTATGTTTAATTCATTACACTGTCACCTGACTTGCCTATTGTTGTTTGTGTACCTGTACCATGGATTTTCTTGTTGATCTGGTCAACTAATGGGTATGGGTTTTATGGGGCCATTGATTCCCATTATTATTGTTCTGTACTGCTTTGTGGTTGGATTCAATAAAAGTCTGCATTAAAACAAAAAAAAAAACCCCCAGCTCCGGGAATAAAAAAAAAAAAAAAAAGAACACTGTTGCAGTGGGTAAGGATGGTACCCAGGCAAGGATGGCGTCCCTTTCCCTGCCTCCTTCACACCCAGAACCTCTTGGGACATGTGACATGTCCCAGGAAGCCACAAAATGATTCACAAAGCACGGCAAAAGCTTGCACATGTGCAGTGGAATCCCGGCTGTGGTTCCTCAGGAAGCCACAGCTGGCTCCCGTATCCAAGATGTCAGCACCAGTGAGCTGCTGCGCTAAGAAGAATCAGGCACTGGTAAGTACCTGCTTTTTAAAAGTCAGCAGCTACAGTATTTGTAGCTGCTGACTAAAAAAAAATTCAGGCTGGGGTTCCTCTTTAAGACTAGGGATAGAGGAAGAAGGTGTAATAGCTACCTTTATCCCTCACTCCCGCAGGCTCTGTTCCTTGTGTGACCGGTTCCCTGAGACCTCTTCTATAGGACACTGTGGGCTGTGGTCGCACAATGGCGTTATCAAGTATGGTGCAGGGCCAAATGCAGATGGTAAGGGTCTGCTCACAACCTGGAGTAGAGGAGAGTGATGGATCCTGTCGGTGGAAGGAGTAAGGTAAGTATTAGATCTTATTTCTCATCTTCTAGAGCAGTGGTCTCCAAACTCTGGCTCACGAGCTGGATGTGGCCCTTTGCTTGTTTTTATCCAGCCTTTGAGTCCCCATTCCATCCACTAACACCAATGATGGGGGCTATTGCTTCCACTTACACCAAAAATGGGGCACTATTTCCCCTAATAGAACCAATGATGCAGCACTAGTCCTTCCACTGATGCCAGGACATTGTCTTACCCCACTGGCCACAGTCTGCCCCCTAAAGCCTGAAGGACAGTTAACTGGTCCATTGCTTAGAAAGTTTGGAGACCCCTTGTTCTAGAGATAAGCAGCATATAACCTCCTACACCATCTACACCTCCTCCCTTGGCCAACTGATACACTCCCACGGCTTCAACTACCATCTCTACGCCGATGACACGCAAATCTACCTCTCTATCCCTCGCCTTACCCCTTCAGTCTCCGCCCGAATCACTAGCCTACTGAATGACATATCAGACTGGATGTCACTCCACTTCCTCAAATTAAACCTTTCCAAAACCGAGCTCCTAGTTTTCCCCCAAGCCCGCGCCCCCCCCATCCTCTCCATCATGACCAATAACGCCACCATCAGTCCCACCCCACAAGCCAAAGTTCTAGGCATCACTCTAGACTCCAATCTGTCCTTCCAACACCATGTCCAATTCATGCAGGCTCCACCTCAGCAATATCTCCAAAATACGTTCGTTCCTAACCCCAGACACTACTAAACAACTCATTCACTCCCTTATTATCTCCCGACTCGACTACTGCAACTCCCTCCTCACCGGCCTACCCCATCACAGACTATCCCCGCTTCAGTCTATCCTGAACTCAGCGGCCAGACTCATCCACCTTACCAACCACTCCGCATCTGCCACCCCCCTCTGTCATTCCCTCCACTGGCTTCCGATTGCCAAATGGATAAAATTCAAACTACTAACATTGACGTACAAAGCTATCCATAACAATGCCCCAAACTACATCACCAACCTGATACCCAAATACCACCCAACCCGTACTCTTCGCTCCTCACAAGACCTCCTACTGTCTAGCTCCCTGGTCTCCTCTTCCCATGCCCGACTCCAGGACTTCTCCAGGTCTTCCCCCATCCTCTGGAACTCACTACCCCAGTCCATCAGACTGTCACCTACCCTCCTCACCTTTAGGCGCACCCTGAAAACCTATCTCTTCAGGGAAGCCTACCCCACCCTCACCTAACAGCCGATCTCCTCCACTCCTCCTACCACTCCATCCCCCACAGCCATTTCCTCCTGTACCACTATCCCCTCCCTCCTAGATTGTAAGCTCAAAGGAGCAGGGCCCTCGAACCCCTCATATTTTGTTTTGTTACTGTATTGGCTCATATACTGTCCCCCACTATAATGTACAGCGCTGAGCAAACTTTTTGGCGCTATATAAATACTGTATAATAATAATAATAATATAACCCTTGCAGTGCAAGGATCCAACTGCAAAGGTATTATTTCTTGTAGTTTCTGGAATTGGACTTTAAAAGCTGAATTCTATGTATGGCGATTTTTCTCGGCTTGGACCAATGTGAGCCATAGCTGAGGGATACCCCATGGAAATTGGAAATCACTGTAGTCCGCATCCCTACTACAGTGATCTGCTCTAGCTAGCTTCCCACATGAAAGAAAAATATATTTGAAATATATTTTTAAAATACTCTTCCCAAATATATTGCCATATTTCAAATGCTACAATTTTGGCCATATTCAATATATTTAAAAAAAATAACTAAAAATTATATATATATATATATATATATATATATATATATATATATATATATATATGTATATATATATATATATACACTGCATGTTGAAATGCATTTTTATTACAAAATGTATGAAAAATATTTTTAAAAATACAATTCAAATATACTGTACCTCCTCCCTGGGCCAACTGATAACCTCCCATGGCTTCCAATTCCACCTCTATGCTGATGACACCCAGATCTATCTCTCCACTCCCCAGCTCCCCCCTCAATCTCCTCACGTATAACAAATCTACTAAGCGACATATCAGCATGGATGTCACATCACTACCTCAAACTCAATCTTTCAAAAACTGAGCTTGTAATATTTCCTCCTCCCCAATCCCCCACTCATGACTTTACCATTAAGATCAACAGCACAACCATTGGTCCTTCCCCTCATGCCAGGGTGCTAGGCGTAATCCTAGACTCTGACCTCTCCTTTGGGCCCCACATCCAATCACTGGCTAAATCCTGCCGCCTCATCCTCCGGAACATTTCCAAAATACGCCCCTTCCTGACCAATGACACCACAAAACAACTTATCCACGCCTTGGTTATATCCCACCTCGATTACTGCAACTCCCTCCTCACTGGCCTACCGTTACACAGGCTATCCCCCCTTCAGTCTATTATGAATGCTGCTGCTAGACTCATCCACCTTACCAACCGATCAGCGACTGCTGCCCCTCTCTGCCAATCCCTTCACTGGCTTCCACTAACCCAACGTATAAAATTTGAAAAACTAACCACAGCTTACAAAGCCATCCACAACACTGCCCCCAGCTACATCACCAACCTCATCCGCAGATACCGCCCAAATCGCCCAGTCCGCTCCTCCCATGATATCCTCCTCTCTAGCTCCCTCATCACCTCCTCCCACGCTCGCCTCCAGGACTTCTCCAGAGCTTCTCCCATCCTCTGGAACTCCCTACCACAGCATGTCCGGTCAGCCCCCACCCTGTCTGCCTTTACGCGATCTTTGAAAACTCACCTCTTTAGGGAAGCCTACCCCACCTCCACCTAAGAACTGTATTTGAATCACCTCCACCAGATCATCCCCCGCAGCTATCACCTTTTGTATCACCTCTAACTTCCTTTAGATTGTAAGCTCCACGAGCCGGGCCCTCCTATTCCTTCTGTACTGAAATGAATTGTAATTGTACTGTCTCCCCTATATTGTAAAGCGCTGAGCAAACTGTTGGCGCTATATAAATCCTGTATAATAATAATAATACTGTATGTCTTTAAAAATACAAATGTAAATTTTTGGAATGCATTTACAAATATATGTATAAATATATATTTTTTAAATATATTCTTCAGATTTTTTTTTAACATATAAAAAAGTAATTTTAACATATATTTTTACATATATTTGTAAATGCATTCCAAAAATTTACATTTGTATATATATGGGAAGAATATTTTTAAGATATATTTCAAATATATTTTTCTTCCATATGGGTTATGGGTCCAGTGCCAAGCAGTTGCCCTGCTTCTTGGTGAACACAGGAGGTCGCTCATATGGCACATGCACCATTCAGAAAACTCTGCATTTTCTCACTGAATACAGAACATTATCTGATTGGCCAAGGTGGAGAGACCTCATCCAGTCAGAGAATACTTTACTTTCATTAGGAAAAGAGAAATGTTCTTAGAATGGTGTGCCTGTGCCTGTGTTCACCATGCAGCGTGGCAGCCGCTTGGAGTGGGACCTGGAAGCTAGTGAAGATCACTGCAGTAGCTGTAGCTACTACAATGATTTCCAGCTTCCATGGGGATCCTACCAGTTTGGCACATTTGCTGTAGTGTGGTCCAAGCTGCATCAATGTAAGATTTCCCATACATGGAATTCCTTTAAGAGGTATTTACTAGTTATAGCTCACCAGGGACTATTTTAGCAGCTGGAAATCTCATTATTCAAAGCCCCCAGTCCACCGACCTTGGAGTCTCCATGGGGTGTTCTTGTGTTTGGACATTGTGTTATAATCATGATCTTATTTTGTCTGTTTTTTAGTAATAAAATCTTTTTCTTTGTTTGCAGGATTCCAACAGTGTGGTCGCCGTTTTGCTAATAGAGTACAAAAGCTCCCTGCTTCCTCACCTGCCTATTCATTTCACTTCTCCCGGCAACTTTGTCACGTTTGCACTTTTCCCCAAATCCAAGAGTTACCGGGTTTTCTACTCCCAGGTGAGATGAACACAGAGATCACTTGGATCATAATGGTCTGTTGATTCTACAACATGCAAAGACATTTTAGACAATTGTGTGCTTCCAGCCTTGTGGCAACAGTTTAGGGAAGACCCTTTAAAGCTGCATTATACCCAAACCAAATATTTATTATATTTCATCTTACCAAGTTTCATATATTTGATGGCGTCATTAGTTTTCTTTTTTAGGCTTTCTTATATTTTCATCTGGTGATCCAGCCAATAAGTCTGTTGTTTTTCAAAAGAACAAGCTCTCTTCCTATTGCAGAGATGAAACAAACTATTTAACGAGCCGGGCCCTCTGTTTCCTCTTGTACCAAATTGTATTGTAACTGTGATGTCTACCTTCATTTTGTACAGCGCTGTGCAAACTCTTGGCGCTATATCAATCCTGTATAATAACTGACAGGGGTGCTTACAATGGCCAACTTTGTTTATGTAAAACCTTTATCCCAAGAAAAAAAAAACTCTGTTAACTGCTTATAAAGTGTGATCTGGAGTTGGTCTTCAATTTGCTTGTGTATTTAACCACCACCTCCCGCCCGCCATACAAGGAAATGACAGGCACAAGGCGGTTCTCTCGTTCTGGGTGGACGTCATATGACATCCTCCCACTCTAACCACACGTGCACGCCCCCGGAGGTGTGCTTTGTCCCTGGGACACAGCGGATCACCGATAAACGGAAAGAGCCGATGACGTCGGCTCTGTCATGTGATCAGCTGTGTCCAATCACAGCTGATCGCATGTAAATAAGCAAATGCTGGTTATCGGCATTCCTCTCCTCACGAGTTGTCATGCTGACAGATCGTGAGGAGAGGAGAGCCGGTAATCGGCATTACTCAGAGGGGACATGTGCTCTGATCATCAGGGCGCGCTGATGATCAGTGTGCCCTGATGATCAGTGTAGCCCCATCAGTGCCCACTGTCAGTGCCATCAATGCCAACTGTCAGTGCCCATCAATGCCACATATCAATGCCTCATATCAGTGCCCATCTGAGCTGCCAATCAGTGCTGCCAGTCAGTGCCGCCTATCAGTGCGCGTCAGTGCCTGTCTATCTGCCAGTCAGTGCTGCCTATCAGTACCACCTATCAGTGCTACCTTTCAGTGCCCATCAGTTATGCCTGTCCATGCTCATCAGTGCCGCCCATCAGTGCAGCCTATCCGTGCCCATCACTGCAGCCTCATTACCGCACATCTGTGAAAGAGAAAAATCACTTATTTACAAAATCTTATTATTATTATTATTATTATTATACAGTATTTATAAAGCGCCAATAGTTCGCTCAGCGCTGTACATTACAAAGGGAGACAGAACATGTGACAGAACAATACCAATACAATGCAAAACATGAGGGGATCAAGGGCCCTGCTCTTTCGAGCTTACAATCTAGGAGGGAGGGGGTGGTGGCACAGGAGGAGATAGCTGTGTGGGGGATGGAGTGGTAGGAAGAGTGGAGGAGGGAGGCAAGTTAGCAGGGGGTGGGGTAGGCTTCCCTGAAGAGATGGGTTTTCAGGGTGCGCCTAAAGGAGAGGAGAGTAGGTGATAATCTGATGGGTTGGGGCAGGGAGTTCCAGAGGATGGGTGACACCCTGGAGAAGTCCTGGAGGCGGGCATGGGAGGAGGAGACCAGGGAACTAGAGAGAAGGAGGTCTTGTGAGGAGCGGAGTGTGCGTGCTGGGCGGTACTTGGATATTAGGTCAGTGATGTAGTTCGGGGGCAGTATGGTGGACAGCTTTGTACGTCAGCGTTAGGATTTTGAATTTGATCCGTTGCGCAATCGGAAGCCAGTGGAGGGATTGGCAGAGGGGGGTGGCGGAGACAGAGCGGTTGGAAAGGTGAATGAGTCTGGCAGCCGTGTTCAGGATGGACTGAAGAGGGGATAGCCAGCGGCGAGGCAGGCCAGTGAGGAGGGAGTTGCAGTAGTCGAGTCGTGATATGAATGAGGGAGTGGATGAGCTGTTTAGTGGTTTCTGGGGTTAGGAACGTGCGGATTTTGGCGATGTTGCGGAGGTGGAGTCTGCACGAGTTTGTTAAAGATTGGACTTGGGGCTGGAAAGGATAGGTTGGAGTCCAGAATGACACCCAGTACTCTGGCCTGCAGGGCGGGTTTTTGATGGTAGCGTTGTTGGATGTGAGGAGAGAAATCAATGGGGGGTGGGGTCCGGGCTGGGGGGAAGACAAGAAACTCGGTTTTGGAGAGGGTTCAATTTAAGGAAGTGGAGCGACATCCAGTCTGATATGTCGCTCAGTAGGTGTGTGATTCGCGCTGAGACCAAGGGGGTGAGGTGGGGGGTTGAGAGATAGATTTGTGTGTCGTCGGCATAGAGGTGGTAGTTGAAGCCGTGAGAGTGTATGAGTTGGCCAAGGGAGGAGGTATAGATGGAGAAGAGAAGGGGCCCGAGGACAGAGCCTTGAGGGACCCCAACAGAGAGGGGGAGTGAGGGGGAGGGTGGTAGCATTATAGGTAACGCTGAAAGAGCGTTGTGACAGGTAGGATGAGATCCAGGAGAGAGCAGAATCTCTGAGGCCGAGGGAGTGTAGTTTTTTGAGGAGGAGGTGGGGGTGGTCGACTGTGTCGAAGGCCGCAGAGAGGTCAAGGAGTAGGAGCACTGAATAGTGTCCATTAGCTTTGGCGGTTAGCAGGTCGTTGGAGAGTTTGAGTAAGGCAGTTTCGGTGGAGTGTAGGGGACGGAAGCCGGACTGTAGGGGATCGAGGAGGTTGTTGTCGTTGAGGTGAGAGCATAGGCGGGTGTAGACTAGGCGCTCGAGGAGTTTAGATGTAAATGGGAGCAGGGAGATGGGTCTGAGGTTGTTCGGGTCATTGGGGTCCAGGGAGGGCTTTTTAAGTATGGGGGTGATGTGTGCATGTTTCAGAGGGGAGGGGAAAGTGCCTGAGGAGAGGGAGAGAGATTGAAGATGTGGGTGAGGAGCGTTAGGATGGAGGAGGAGGAAGGTCGTAGGAGTTGTGAGGGGATAGGGTCGAGGGGGCAGGTGGTGAGGCGGGCATCAGAGAGGGTCTTGGAGACTTCCTCGATGGTAGTAAGGTCAAGGGTGTGTGGAGTGTTGGGGGAGCTTCAGTATGAGGAATGTAGGGTGGGGTGGAAGAGGAGGTCAGAGCAGTGGTGGGGCCGTGGGAGAGGGGTGATGAGGGGGTAGCTGAGTGAGGGTGAAGGGGGTTTGAGAGTTGAGAGTTTGAGCAGCGACGAAGTCCCTGCGGGTTATGTCGAGGGGGAGGGGGGATAAGGGGGTAGCTGTGTGAGAGGGGACAGGTTGAGAGGGCGTGTGAGTTGCGGCAATGTCCTTGCGAATTGTGTCAATTTTGTTTTTGAAGTGATTGGCAATCTCAAGGGCAGTGAGTGAGGTGCTGGGTGGAGGTGGGGGTGGAGAGAGTAGAGAGAGTTGAAGGCAGAGAAGAGTCGGCGAGGATTGGAGGAGAGGGCCTTGATGAGGGTCAAGAAGTAGGCTGTTTGGCAGCATGGAGGGAGGAGGTGTAGGTGCGGAAGGCAGATTTGTAGCGGGTGAAGGCTTGTTTGGATTTGGTTTTGCGCCATAGTCGCTCCAGGGCACGACTTTGTCGTTTGAGGGTTTTGGTGTGATCAGTCTGCCAGGGCTGGAGCGGTCGGGGTCTGGTGTTGCGTGTGGTTAAAGGCGCTAGTGAGTCAAGGGCTGTTGAGAGCACATTGTTGTAGGCGGTCAAAGCCAAGTCGGGGCAGGACAGGGGGAGGATGCGGTCGTGGAGTTGATCAGCTGCAGAGTGGAGGGAGGCAGGTTTAAGGTTGCGGAGGTTACGGCTGGTAGTAGTGTGACATTTGGAGGGGTAGGCGTTGGAGGACGAGGAGATAGAGAAGGTGATCAGGTTGTGGTCAGAGAGAGGGAAGGGGGTGTTAGTGAGGTTGTGGGGAGCACATCGGTTGGAGAAGACAAGATCAAGGATATTTCCGTCGGAGTGGGTGGTGGATTGTATGCACTGTGCAAGTGCAAAGGAGGAGGTTAGGTGGAGGAGACGGGCTGTGTCCGGGTTGTCGAGGTTGACAGGGATGTTAAAATCCCCAAGAATTATGGTGGGTAGCTCAGAGGAGAGGAAGAAGGGTAGCCAGGAGGAGAAGTCATCCAGGAAGCGGGGTATGGATCCAGGAGGCCGGTATATCACAGCAATCTTCAGGGGGGTTGGGGAGAATAGTCGGACGCAGTGGGCCTCGAAGGAGGAGAAGGATAGTGAGGGGGGGTTTGGGAGGACTCGGAAGGTGCTCTGCGGTGACAGGAGCAGACCAACCCCACCACCTTTACGACCGTTAGGCCTGGGTGAGTGGGTCCAGGTGAGACCTCCATAGGAGAGTGCAGCAGGGGAGGTAGAGTCAGTGGGCTGGATCCAGGTTTCCGTGATCGCCAGGAGGTTGAGGGAGCGGGAAACAAAGAGGTCGTGGATGGCGGTAAGCTTGTTGCACACCGAACGGGCGTTCAGGAGTGCACATGAAAACGGGGGGGAGATTTTAGGGAGCAGGGAGACAGATACTAAGTTGCGGGGGTTGCAGTAGGACGTGGAAGTGGGAGGGTGTTGAGCGGGTGAGGGAGGTGGAGGGCCAGGATTTGGGGAGATGTCCCCCGCGGCTAGGAGGAGGAGAAGGGTGAGAAAGGTGGCATGGGAGCGGGATGTGCAGGAGCGTGAGAGAAACTCCTAGTGGAGGTGTTGGGGTCAGTGGGAGAGTGGAGTAATAGGAGGAGGTGGTGGGTGCCATAGAGGGGTGAGGGAAGCAGTGAGGACACGATATACAAATGTTTGGGAGGGGCAGAGGGATATAGTGAATGGAATTTGGGAGCGAAGGAGAGGAAAATGAGAAGGAGGAGTGGAAGAGACATTTTGGGGAGGTGAAGAGAGCAGTAGTAGGGAGATGATAGCAGTGAGGGGGAGATGTACAGGTTGTGGGGTGGAGTAGAGGGGTAGAGAAATGAGATTTGGGAACAGAGGGTAGTAATAT